GTATAACAGCTATCAATCATCCATTACCACAAATACAAGTTGAACTTGATAATGATACTGTAGAAGATGTTATTACTGTTGAATTGATAACAGTTATATGTATTATATTTGCATTAGCATTTATTCCTGCAAGTTTTCTTGTTTTTCTTATTGATGAACATTCAACAATGTCAAAACATTTACAATTTATTAGTGGTGTTAAAGGTAATTAAAATTTAAATACAAAAAAAAAATCATTTTTTTTTCGAAGATATAGCTTATTGGTCTGCAAATTTTCTTTGGGATCTAATTAATTATTGTGTATCAATAGGATGTTTCATTATTATATTTGTTGCTTTTAATATTGAATCATTTGTAAATCAAACGAACTTTGTTTGTTTTGTCTTATTATTATTTTTATAGGGTTTTGCATTAATACCATTAATGTAATCAATAAATTATTTATTTCAAATTGCATCAACTGGTTTTGTTGTTGTATCATCATTAAATATATTTATTGGTTTAATGACAACAATATCAACAGTAATATCACAAACTTTGAAAGATGAACCAGATTTAACAAAAGTTGATAATATTTTAACAAAATTATTTTTAATATTTCCACATTATTGTTTCGGACGTGGTTTATTCGATTTAAGTACAACCTATCAAACGAATATAATTAGTCTTAGATATAGTTAGTGATTGGTTCTTCTTTTTTGTCTCTTGAGATTTTACAATTATGAATATTTGTTTATTTTGTAGTACCGGGTTATGTTCCTAAATCACCACTTCAATTTGATATTGTTGGTCGAAATATAATGTGCTTATCTATTGAAGGTTTTGTCTTCTTTATATTTGCAATATGTGTTCAATATCGAGTTTTTATTTCTGATCGGTAAGAAAAAAACATTATATGACAATATTTTAGTCGAAAGTTTTGTTAATATTTAGTATTTGTGTTCGAACATCAAAAAATTTAATATCATCAAATGAAGATGAGAATGTAGCTGCTGAACGACAAAGAATTTATGCAGATCATAATAATATAAATGGTGATGTTTTACGTATTATTGATTTACTTAAAGTAGAAATAATAAAAGATAAACACAAAAAAAAAGATTGTTTTCTTTTATTATTCATAGATTTATGGATGGAGATTTGGAAAAAAAATTACAGCTCTTAAAAAAAATATGTATTGGTGTTAAACAAGGTGAATGTTTTGGTTTATTAGGTATAAATGGTTCAGGAAAATCGACAACATTTAAAATGTTAACTGGAGAAATTTCAATGACAAATGGAAATGCATTTGTCAATAATTATAGTGTTATTAAACAATTAGATGATGTTCATCAAAATTTAGGGTATCATAAAAAAATAAAAATAAAGAAAAGCTATTCAGTCCTGTTTGATTGTATATATATTTTTTCTTTTTAGTTATTGTCCACAATTCGATGCACTTGATTCTTTATTAACAGCACGTGAACATCTTTATTTTTATGCTCGTTTACATGGAATTAAAAGAAAGAATATTTCATCTGTAAGTGTATTTTCATCATACTTCATTGATATAGTCATAGAACAATTTTATTAACCAAATTAAGTAATTAGGCATATCACTATACCAATACCGTTTAGTATCGACTAGTGCTCAATGTGAAGAATTTAGGTAGAAGCAAACCCTACCCCCCCCCAAAAAAAAAAAAAGAAATCATGAGATTATTAATCATACAGTCAATATAGATATGGGATATGTGCACTATTGTAGTACCCATAATTGAATTTTAGTCACGATTAAAGGAAGATTTCAATAGCATATATGTATGTTGAAACATGTTTATATTGAAAGTAAAATGAGTCTTATATCATCTCTCACAGATACACCTGTACCTATTGTAAATTCATAGTATTGATACATTTAGATTGAAATGAAAGGATAGAGAGAACGACCATTTTTAGATTACTGAATGTTTATTAAAACGACTTGGTCTTACACTTTGGGCTGATCGACCAGTAAAACAATATTCTGGTGGTAATAAACGTAAATTATCAACAGCTATTTCACTTATAGGTAACCCATCAATTATATTTATGAATATAAGTTTAAAAATAAAACATTTTTCTATGAAAGAAAAAAACACATAATTAATAATCATTATTAGGAACCAACAACTGGAATGGATGCACGTGCAAAAAGATTTTTATGGAATTGTATATTAACGTTAACTCGTAAAGATCATAAATCAATTGTAATAACATCCCATTCAATGGAAGAATGTGAAACATTATGCAATCGTATGAAAACTTGATTCTTCTCATTTTGTATATATTGATTTTTTTCTTTTAGGTCTTGTTATAATGGTCACTGGAGAATTCAAATGTCTTGGTAGTGTACAACATTTAAAAGCAAAGTAAAATCTAATTTATTGTCTAACATTTTTGTTCTTCAAAAATTCTGTATGTTTCTGTTTAAAGATTTGGTCATGGTTATAGTATTATTGTTCGATCAGATATTAATTGTGATACGAAAAATATTATTAATTATATAAAAGAACGAATAGTAGAAGTTAATGTTAAAGAAGAACATACTAAAATGATACATTTTCGTGTATCAATAAATGTTCCATTATATGAATTGTTTAGTGTTTTAGAAAAAGCACAAGAAGAATTAAGAAATATAATTGAAGATTATACAGTTACACAAGTAACACGTGATGATGTATTTGTTAATTTTGCTAAAATACAAGAAGATAATCAATCATCAAAAAATATTAATGTCAATAATAAAGATAATTGTTTAAAAAGAAATTTTTTATATAAATTATTTTTTAGACACGACAAAAATAATATTGGTAAATAAAATTCATAATTCAAATTTTCAGTTGAATACAATTAGTTAAATTTGTTTTATAGAATCAATCAAACTTTAATGTACCATTAGATGGTATGTAATATTAATTTATGATTTCCTTATTTTGATCTGATCTAGTACAGATAATATCATTTTTTTTCTATTGATATTTTGAAGAATTGGATAGATATATATTCATTATTCATTGGATTATAGATACATTCACATTAACGAAATTAACGCAATAAGTCCGCCCAATGACAAGTACTGAAATTGATTTTTTTCGTTTAAATTTGTAATAAAAATCAAATATGGTTACGGTACAGCTTTCCACTTTTTGCATGACCATAAAAAAGTATTCATGTTATAATGTGCTTGATTATGGGTGTGGGTGTGTGGGTGTGGGTGGGTTATAGGTCTGGTCTTGTCTTTACCTAGACCCGTAACCCAACCACACTCACACCCGACCGACGTCTTTTTGAGTCCGTGATGCTGAGTTACTGTATCTCTGAAAGCAGCCGCAATTTCAACACAAAAACGGTTAGCCGAGCTTCAAAATATTGCGACCTATTGCAGATTTTCTGTTACTTTTCTTGATTTCGGGATTGCTTCTATGAAGAATGACACTTTGAATTCAGAGAAGTTCA